GTTAGGACTACGCACCTACCGACATATGTTCTGAACCGAGGTGTACTGTGAGTTTTCATATTACCGGAATACTGCTAGAGAACACACCTAGCAAAAATGTCTACTAACCTCAGTTTTTCAGAAATAGATCCAGATTTTTCCAGTTCTTCAAGCAGTAGATCCCGCTCATATTGTAGAAAGTCAATCTGTTCCTTCAGATTATTCTGGTTCTCAGTGGTTTCTTGAAGCTGACTCAACACAGTTCTAAAATCAGCCTGTAATGACACAAGAAACTTCAGCATACTCCACAGGCTAAAGTGGTTAACTTTCATATTAATTATCTGGTTTGCATATTAATTATCCTATTTGCATATTTCTTTAGGAAAACTGGCATGTTCAAAAAGCCTCAGGAGTACACTCACTTTAGTTAGACTTTGAATTTTTTTTCACTTTTGAAAAGCAATACCTTGTCCTAAATGGTTTGCATGATATTTAGACAAATCAACAAAAATAAATATTTTTTTTTTTTGCCTAGACTGCCCTCAAACCACACATCATGTTTTTTTAATACCATAAGACAATATTTTTAGTTACCACAGAAACAGTGTGTGCAGCTTGTGTTATTAGTACCAGCCTGGCACGAGTTCCACAACTTTAAAGCATTTTATATTCAGCACAACACTGCAGCATATACAACACCATGAACTTGGATAAACACAAGTGTAAACGCCTCAAAATGAGGTAAATGTATGCAATCCGTTATTTTATATCTTTTAAAAATTGGGGTCGTCAGCAGTAGAAGAATAATTGCCAAATTGCCATAATATTAGAATGGAATGAACAAAATAAAGATGTGTCCAATTTACAATAGGTGTAATAACACAGAGAAACTATTTTGTACTACATTCAACTGATCAGAAATCAGTGAAATTAATTCCATACAAAACACAGAAAAAGTATTTTCAGCAAAAATTAATTTCAGCGAAAATAAAGTATTTTACAGTATTTAGCTGTGTAGATACAGTGATTTTCTGCTAAACTTCAATGATTACTGAACTGTTCCTTTCTTTATTCACTAACTGGAAATAAAAAGTGGAAACAAAAATTGCTGTGATCCATTGCTAAATCAAATTAAAATGCAATCAAGTATGTGACCAACCATAAAACTAACTTGAATGCCTACTCATTGAGTGCTCATCAAGTGTGGATCACTGTTCTTTTCAAACTTTATCTATTGTGCACATAAAGGGAGACACAAGTTCAAGTTCAGTATGATTTTAATCATCTCTCAATCCAAGGTGCATGTAGTCAACAATAGGTCATTACCACAGGTGGTAGGACTCTTCAGCACCAGACCACCCTTCACGATTTGTCACAAAACTCAATAGTGGGTTTATGTTATGTATACATGTACTTACCCCGGTAGATAGTTTTCACATTTCAATAATATGTTTTACGGACACTATTTCACTCTTTAGCAATCAAGAACAATGACCTTGAACTTCAACTACTGTGGAATACTTTATTTTCGCTGGAATTAATTTTCGCTGAAAAAGCTTTCGGGGCGTTTTGCTTGGAATTTATTTTCACTGATTTTTAATGAGTTTAATGTGAAATATAGGGAAAAAAGTATATTCACTGGATTTTATTTTCACGGAATCATCCCTTCAGCGAAAATAGCGAAAATAAAGTATTCTACAGTATCCATTGTAGTAATGTGACTATTAGTTTCTGTGGTCTAACTACAATACCCAGTACATTAGTTTTCTTTCCACGCAATGAATATACTCATATTTTAGAAAATCAACAGAACAGAACTAAATAGTCTAAAAAGTCTCTATATTTATAAAACTGTCTATATCCTGACCTCCAGGGCCAAGAAGGAAACCTCTAGCCTTTCTAAGAATCCCAGATCACTTACTGCAATGTTCAGTAATTAATGGATGTTTATGTAGAAACCTCAGTTTAAGATTCAACAATACTAGGCGCAAATACAGCATAAATATTTTGACTCTCAGGAACAAATGTGTGAACAATCTTGTTTCCAAAACTGCAGGATCATTTAAGTCATTCAGTTTCAGGTGATCATCAGCTAAAGCATGTGTACTTGGGAGGTATTATCGCACCACAGGCAAAAATCAACTTGTAAGCTTTCATATGACAAGGTGTATCCAGCCCTGGGGCTGGGATATACAATGAAAAGAATGAAAAGAGCCATCGCTTGCCATCATATCGGATTACAATGCAAAATTTGGCAAAGGATGTAATTTAAGGCACATTCAAAATTGTTGTTGGGAATTAATTAAGATATCCATGGACATGAGACAAACTTGTTCCTAATGAACAATACCAAAACAATCTGTGCAGTGTTTCTTTCATGCAGCATTGATAGGGGACGCTTAGTCCAAAGTGAATATTTAAAGGTAGATTTCTTTTAAATTTTTGGGTATATGAAATTAGGAAAATGATCGACACAAATTTTGGGATCCTAAAACCTTATCTCAGAAATGATAGAATGATTTATATTTGTTTCAGGATTGTTTGGTTGAAGTATTTCATTGTATCTAGAAAATCTGTTATAATATGGATCATAATATTATACCAAAGTTTATTTTTGTGAGTTTCCATCAAGATGTATTGCCATTATCTCAGTATATGCAAACATTTTGGTTCAATTCCTTTACCTGTAATAAGTATGTGTTCAAATACAGGCACCCCCAGGTATATTCGATTAAAAATACATTTAATTCAGTGATTGGCGATCAATGTTTTTCATAACAATTTATCAATACATCTGTAATAAAACTACTCTAATCAGTTCTAGAACACGCAGATCAAATCAAAGACAATAACAGATGAAAGTGAGAGATCACCATAGCAACTATTGTCATGACTACTTACCTTTAACTCATTGACGACCTTGAGCACTTCACTGATTTGTTCCTGACATTCATTTTTATTTTCTTGTAGTTTTTCTTCTATAACTTTATCATCTTGCTGTATGGACGAGAGCTCTAGCAGTGCTCCAGTAAAACCATCTTTCATTTCCTGCACCAACAGATGCAACTACAACGAAGAACACATAATCAGATAATCAGCTAGTCTTGGCAAATCACTCTTTTTTTAAATTACTAATAGACGTTAACAAAGACTATGTAACAGCACGAAATAAAACACAAATTTCTAGAAATACACACACATGTATCTGCGAAAGATAGAAAGAAACTAATATGGGTTTTCCAAGATTGTTTTTACTAGTACTGCCATTTGTGCCATCTCCATCTTGAAATCAACAAATGGGTGATCTACAATTTCTGTGGTTATGTGCCGTAACCTGGTAAAAGTATGCTATCTAAGCAACGACAACTTCAGAGTATGCGACAAATTTATTACAAATTAAGTTATGTGTATTCAAAACAACAATCCAAATTTTATTAATTATTAACGTCAGTGATTCAAATTAGTTGAATCATGGTCATGTGACGATTATGATATAATGGTGAAACCATCACATGACTACGATTTAGCTATTACTTATTTTTTGCTCTCTTGAAAAGTGTTTTATTAGCAACGATGCGGTTGCATAACATTCACACAGCGTCAATGATATGTCTGTGGCTGCCTGTCAGTAACAAATATTGGGTTCAGAGATTC